CTCTGCTCGGGAAACATCTAGCGCTGGCAAGGTGTGAGGTCATCAGCTAGTCAGCTGCTAAAATATGACCAAAGAATGCCCTTTGATTCTGTGAAGGGAGAACTAGACTTAAAGAGGGGTGAGGGTTAGACCCACTAAGTCAGCCCCTGCCGGGTTTTCCAAATCATGTACAATGGTATGTTAATAGAGGCTGTATTATTTAAAAGGGTCTTATGGCCAATACATTTGAAAAAGCCTGGGAAAAAACAAAACTAACAGATGCTTTACTGTAGAACCCCCTAGGGCGTGGACTATACTGTTGGACACTGTACATCTCCAAGAAAGGGTTACGGCATGCAACATTTCTAAAATTTCAAAACAACTCACTTGGCAGAGAATCATTTGGAACCAGGGTTCCAAGGTATGGTCTTTGAGAAACACTGGCTTATTTCCTTCATGTATGGAGCAGAACCTACACATCACTCTGTTTTTAATATGATCCATAAAAGATGTACATAAGGCCTGTAATTCCACAAAATATTCACTCAACCTCCAGGAAGGTTCTGCCCTTGAGAAGCCAGCAGTCTACTGGGAAAGGCAGGCTCAAGGTGTTAGGTCTTATCACACAAGATGCAATAAGGGGCTGGGGTTGGGGCTCAGCAGTAGAGCGCCCACCTAGCACGGGCAAGGCCCTGGGTTCGATCCTCAGCACCACATAAAAATTAATTAATTAATTAAAGGTATTGCATCCAGCTACAACTAAAAAGAAAAAAAAAAAAAGATGCAATAAAACAGAAAACAAGCCACTTGTTCTGCCTGTGTAAACACAAAGTCCCCCTCAGAGGAGCCCACTTTGGGACTGGATCAGAGCTGGGTTAAAAGTTAGGAGCAACCTGGATACTGCAGAACATTCCTATAAAAATCAAGCAACACCTTGGTCTTAATGGATACCAGTTTCATGTACAAAATTCAGCAATCCTGCCTTAATTTTTCTTTTCTTTTTTTTTTTTTTTTTTTTCTTTTTCCAATGCCGGGACGGAGCCCACCTTGGTTGGGCCGTCATAGCTGGCTACCCCCGCCTGCACCTACCAGGCCTCTCCCAGGAGGCTACCTTTCCTTCTCACAGCTGAGCACCGACACTGGATGAGCACTAACGCACCCATCAACGTAGGCATCAAAACAGAATAACCCGCCCCACATTTCTCAAGCTTGAAGACAGAGAACTAAACATGCAATGTCTTAATCCAGAAAGAGACAAAAATCTCCCCAGCAAAGCCCCAAAATGTCACTGTCAGCAGTCAGCAGAAGTTCATTTGTGAACTTCACTAGAGGAACATTCAAGCCACCCCACGTGGCATCTCCCAGGCAATCAGAGGGCACCGGGGAATCAATCTGGACACCCGGGTGTTTCCAGGTGGCTGGAAATGCTGAGAATTCTGCGCTTCTGCAATTTTCCCTATTAATCAGGTCAGGCATTTGACACTTGAGGTGGCAAAAAACTGTTTTAATGGCAACATCCCTTTCCCGCCTTGCCAATGACCCCAGCCACGGCATTCCTCTGTCCACACAGGCCACAGCTGCTTAATCTCGGCCGCCCCAGGCTGCACCTGTGAATCAGACCAGCCTAATCACACTAACAGATGGCAGAGGCCACGCAGCCAGCTAAGAGCTGCTATCACTTTAAATAGCGTCTAATGTTTCACAGGCACAAACAGAGGCCCTCGCGGGGGTAGCACCTCCAGGGACAGCTAAAACTCGCCCTTCACCACCACAGAGCGCCCATCTCAGGGCCAGAGTGGTGTCATCCGAGAGTCAATTACAAAAACCCCCGGGTGCAAGGTGAAAAAAGCCAGGCACATGCTCCCTCGCTGGCACCCACCGGACAGCTCTGTGCCTGGCCCTTCCCGGACCCTGGGCAGCTGGCTCGTGGTCACGGTGGAAACCCAGAGGTCTGCTGAGCCCTCAGAGGGAGGATGCATGCCCAGCCTGCTCTACCTGCTGTCGCACTCACTGCTTCACGTGGACTGTGGCGGCGAGCTATCTGGCAGGGCACCTGACCAGCAGGACCACACAGTTGGCAGGCAAGCCAGCCAAACCAAGCTGGGGGAATCTGATGTCCCAGTCGGCAGCAAAGGCGCCCACATGCAGTATCACTGCGGAGCTACAGACAACTGCACGAACGTGCTCACTCCACCCCAGTGTGAGCCCGGGATGCCCACGGGCAACAGGCCTATGACCCACTCCAGCGCTGCCTTCTGCTCCCGAGTCAGGTTTTGCAGATCAATAAAAGGAGAAGTGCTCTCCCCGGACTGCGACCCGCGGCACCAGCCAGGGCCACTCACAGCCCCTGACTCTTGGCCTCCAGCTCCAAACCAGAGCCAAGCAACTAAAGAGGCCAGTGGTATGCTGGGCTGTGTCAGTGTTTTTGTATTAAACCATGCCCCCGTAGAAGGCCAGTACGAATCACAGCATATGACATTTTTACTCGCCTCATTACCCAGTTTCACAACAAAATGGCTCATGGCAAACTCTTGTCCAAGGCAGATCTGCACGTGCAAATCCTAAGCCAGTGGATCTCACAGTTCCATGTGCATCAGAATCACACCCAGCTTCTACTTCAGTGAGTCTGAGAAGGTGCCTGAGAATCTGCATTTCCAACAAGCCCCTCCACCCGCAGTGATACTGATGCTGTGGGCCCGGAACAGCACTTTGAGCACCACTGCCCTAAGCTTCCTCTTGCCTAAAAGTAAAAACTCTTATCAACCAAAACATTTCCCTTTTTCCCCAAGCAACTGGGGGACTCAGGGACAAATCCAAACCCTCACTTAAGTACCACATTTTTCCCAGGTGCCTAAGATCTATTGTTTCTTCTTCCTTTAAAAAGCCCTGGACTAAATAAGAGACTTTTCAACAAATGGTACTGGCCCACCTGAACATCCATCCATCCACAGGCAAAATATCAGACTGAGACCTCATAAAACTTAATTTAAAATAGATCATGACTATGATCTAAATGTAAAACGGGAAACTACAAAACTCCTAGGAGATAACACAGAGCTGACCTTGCTGGTGGCTTTCTAGATAGCAACACCCAGAGCACAACAATCCACAGAGAGCGGATAAGCTGTGCTTCATGCAAATTGAAGATTTTTGTGCTGTGAGAGCTGCTCAAAGGAATGAAAAGACAAGCCACAGACTGGGAGAAAATATTTGCAAAAATACACAGGACTGCTATCCAAAATATACAAAGAACTCTCAAAACTCAACAATAAGAAAACAAACAACCCAATTAAAAAACGAGCCAAAGGTCTTAGCAGGCACCTCACCAAAGAAGATGCAGGGATGGCAATTAAGCACCTACAAAAGGTGCTTCACATGGCTCATCCTGAGGGAATGCAAATAAGAACAACAGAGAGACCACAACCACCTCCTCGAAAGGCCAAAATCAGAGCACAGACCGCATCAAAAGCTGGTGAGGATCTAGAAAGCAAGATGGCGCAGCCCCTCTGGAAGGTGTGCGGTGGCTTCCCACAAACCTGGGCGCACTCTTTCTGCATCATCTAACAATCGCAGCACCCGTGGCGATTACCTAGGAGAGCTATGAATGTGCATCTCCACAAAACCTGCCCCCGAGTTTGCAGCAGCTTTATTCCTAGGTGGAGGCCACCGAGCCACCCTAGGGCAGGTGAGTGGGTCAGTAACTGAGGCCCATCTGAACTACGGAACAGCATCAGCGCCAAAAAGAAAGGAGCAGTCAGGACATGGAGACGAGGAGGAAGCCCAAGCACACCGCTGGACGAAGAGGTCAAGCTGAAGTGTGCGTCCCCAACACAGGACATCCTGGAAAGGGCAGAGCCACAGGGACAGTACAAAGGCCAGGGTCGCCTGGTGGGCACAGCGGATTGCTCTGCATGCCAGCAATGGTGGACACATGTGCTCGGACACTCGTCCTAACTCAGAGTGCACAAGACCAAGAGGGACCCTGAGGTGAACTACGGGCTTCGGGTGATGACGACAAAACTGCTCCTTAAAAAGTCAATTTTTTTAAAAAAAACTAATTGTTTTATTATTTAGGCCCTGGTTAAATTAACTGACAAAATCGTCTGGAGACAGTGCAGTCTATACCACCCAAGCAAAGAACTCCAGGACCATCACTGTGGGACACTCCAGCCGGGTCAACGCAGAACGCAACTGATGCTACCTAGTCTTTAGAGGAGCACTGTGCAAATGTCAACTCATTCACGCCTCCTAACCACCTGGAAGACATTATCATTGTTATTATTCCCATTTTACAGCCCAAGAAACTGAGGCGCAGGTGTTCAATGGGGAACTGAGATGCGGCAGGTAAAGCAGGACCCAGACCCAGGCTGTCCAGCCCCGAGAGGCCAGTCGCGTTCCTACCACCAAGTAAAAGGGGCCCTCCGGGGTCAGCGCTCAGTGTGAACTGCCTCAGAACAAGCAAACACCACCTGGCCCCTCTCCTGTCCCTGCCTACCACACGAGGCCCTCATCTGGGAAAGCCAGGGCTTCTCAGCTGTGGCGCACGCCGTGGCGCACTGACCAGATGGGTCTCTGCGGTCCCAGCAGCAAACCTGGCCCCGCCTGTGAGATGCCACTTGTGCCCCTCCCCCAGTGACAACCAGACATTGACAGAGGTCCCAGGGAGAGGGACAGGCAGTTACCCTTGGTCAAGAGTCACTGGGTGAAGCCAGGCACCGTGGATAGCCTTGGAGATGACCAAGGCGGGTGTGGCCGGTCTCGGAACAGTGAGAAACGGAACGAGAAAAGAAAGCCACGAGAAAGGTAGCCGCTGTCTCCACAGAGTGGACAGACACAGAAGAAAGGACGAGCGGTGGTGAAGGGGGGACAGTGACATGGTTTATTCTCAGGTTTGAAAGTTAGGACAGCAGACACACTGGACAGCAAGAGCCGCAGGGCCCAGCGCGGACAAGGACACGGTGGCGGTGGGGGTCGGAGCTCCCAGCACTCCTCTCTCGGGCCTCGGGGCAGCGGCTACTTACTCTTGTTGTTACTGCTCTCACTGACCAAGTCTTCAGAGGCGTCTGTGTCGTCCTCGTCATCTCCGGACGAGAGGGCATCTGTATGCAAGAGAACAGATCCAGGCCTGTGTTTCTGCCCAGCCAAGGGCCGCCATCACCGCCGCCAGCCCTGCGCAGGGCTGAGCTCACCACCCAGGAACCACCAAGCCTGAGACCACGTTCGGTTGCTTTTAATGGTTTAAAGGGTCCCTCTGGAAGGACAGTGGGTCTCTGTTGGGATTCTCGACGCCTCCTGCTCCCGTGCTATTTAAACACACCGTCAGATTGGATCTACTGGAACTGGATTTTAAGCTTCTAACAACATTCAAGTCCCCAGCAGATTTACTGATTATGTTACAGCCAACGATTTCTTTCCTCCCCAAGAGAACTTTTCAGCATGTGGGGACCCCTTCCAGAAAGAAATGGGTCCCTAACAAAACGTGATCCCTGTGTGGCCCTTCTCGTCATTAGCATTCTGAGAGAGGAACTTTAAACTTCACAGAGAACTTCAACCTTGGCCCCAAAGGGGGCTTGTTCGGTTCCCCACCTTACATGGAAAAAAAGCTGAGAGGAACTCATATTTTAATAAAGGAACCAGAAATTTGGAGCTTCCGTAGTTCAGTCCAATCTTCAAAATGCCAAAGATGTTGGTGGCATAAAGAGAAACAAGACTTATTAACATTAAAAGTGTGCTGTCTTAAAATGTTGCCTTGCACACAAGATCTCGGTCATTCATAATGATGGGCCTCTCAGAGGACCAGGTCCTTCCATAAGAATTTCAAAAATGGGTCATCCGGGTGGGGTGGCATGCACCTATAGTCCCAGCTACTCAGGAGGCTGAGGCAGGAGGGTCACTTGAGCCCAGGAGTTCAAGACTAGCCTGAATAACACAGCAAGACCCTATCTCAAAAAGTAAACAAATAATTTTTAAAAAACTGATCAATAACAAACTCTGAAGCTGTGTGCCCCGCAGCCAGCCAACTAGCAGATGTCACTATGATTTCACTAGGCAAAAAAAAAAGTTAAAAAATCAACTTTAACCAGAAAACAGCCAGAGAAGAGGGCGCAGCCTGCAGGCCAACTCACCTGTGACATTCACCATGAAGTACCAAGTTTCACTGTCTACAGTCCTAGCGGCAGAACAAGCATAGAGGCCGGAGTCTCTAGGTGTGGCGCCTTTGACCTGCAAGTACTCCCCAATAAGCACTGTCCTATTGCTGGGCCCCAAGTGAACCCCATCCTTAGTCCAACTGATCACGGCGGCATCTTTCAACAGGCAGCGCAGCTCTAGCGCCTCCCCTGGCGCGGCCACGTACACTTCTGGTTGGGAGATTTGGTATTTGGTTGGTGGCTCTGCAGAAAGTGGGAGAGAGAGACAGAGACAGATGGGACAGAGCGGGAGGAGAGAACGTCCAACAAAGGTCAGTGAGGCCCTCCGTTCCAGGAGAAGCCGTTCCTGTTTGACAAATGGCCCCAGGAGGCGTCCATCTCTCCCCGCACCCCAAGAAGCCAGGAAGCAGCCCACACTCAAGGGTAGACTGAGGCAGACTGAGCCCCGAAACAGCAGCCAGAGGAAGTGCCCAGCAGAGCTGCCCCGCCTCCATTTCCTCATGGTGAAGGTCTTCAGAAGCAAACCAGAGCCCAGCCAGGAAGGATGTGCCACAGGACCGTGCCCAAGCTGACCACCAACCTGAAGCCTGCTCCCCCTGGGAAAGCCCGTTACCATGGCACTTCCCGTGTGTAAGAGAGTCGCTGGCTCTTACCAATGAGCTGATTCGACAGGACTATGTGCGTGCTCTCCCGCCTTCTCTTACTTCTCTATTTATTTGTGCCACACTTGGCCTCTGGTTATAAAACCAAGTTCCTTAAAATGAAATGCCTCAAACTCAAGGGAAACCAACCGTCCCATGCAGAGCTATCGGGCACAGAGCGATTGCTGGTCAGGAGTGTGCTGGGCTAGGCTGGGACATGCCCAGAGGGCTTGAGACAAAACTAACAGAGCAGAATGTCCACGGCTGAGAGCGGGTCTGTGCCACACTGACCCTGGACGCCTCTTATTCCATGTCACATGGCCCAACCCCACCTGCCACCAACCCTACCCCACTCATCCAGGTCCTCAGCCTCCCGGCTTCTGTGCCTCTCTCTTCTTTGGGGATATCCCTTCCTCTCTCTCATCCTTGTTCAACCCGACTCTCCTTCAAGCCCAGATCAAGGGCCCTCTGCAGAAGCCCTGGATCAGTCACCTGGCCAGAGGGAAGTGGCCCTGCGCCCTCACTGTACACCTGCCCGCCTTCTCAGCTCCTGGGATGTACATATTTCTTATGAGCACGTCCCGCCTCCCCGAGGACACACAAAGCTGCCAGAGAGGGGACCCAGGTCTTGTGGATCAGTGTGTCCTCCACTCATCCTAGGGCCTGTGGCATACACAGGGACAGCAGGACTGAGCATCATCACAGCCCCCAGAGACACAGGGCAAGATGGAACAGACCCAAGAGGATCCAACCCACATTAACTTCCCCAAAGGAGGAGGGAGGAAGCTGCTGGCCTCTAAGAACAGCCAAGGCCACCAGGGGCTGGCCACGAGGTCCATGAAGCGAGCTTTCATCCCCGCAGCGAGGGCTGTGAATGGTACACAGAGCCCCAGGCCTGGAAAACACAAAGCCTCCTTCCCAGCACTGGACGGCTCCAAAGCTGGGCAGCGTCACAAGGCAATTGTTTTGCCCAGAGTCCATTCAGGACAAATCTCCCACATGACTGAGATACAGTCAGTCCACGCCTTAGTCCTCACTCCCAAGAAGCATCTGATCCACGAACCGCGGCCACCACAACCAGCCAACCTGGGGACCCCGGCCTTCCATGGGGCCCCACCAAGAGGGGCCCAAATGTTTAACAGACTGGAACACAAGGGGTCCGGGGGACACAGTCAAAGACCCCGACATGGTGCAGAGAGAGCCCCACTGGCAGGCGGGCTTCCTTTCAAAGGCCTGTTTTCCTCACGCACAGCTACTTATTGAACACCCCCGGGGGGCCACGTTTTGTTCTGGACTCTCCGGAAGCAACACAGGAACCTGCCCTTGTGGGGCTTCCACTGGGGTGGGGGTGACAGAGGGGAAATATAAATCTACAAAAGAATATAAAGTGTGCGAGGTGGCCTTCAGCAGGGGAAAGAACACAGCAAGACAGCGGCCCACACAGAAGTGGCAGGTGAGGGCTCCATCCGTGGCAGGAACTGGCCAGCGGTGGTCCAGGGGCCAAGCCAGCCGCGGCTTGCTTTTGTAAACAGTGTGCCTGGAGCCCGGCCACGCTCACAGGCTCTGCACTGCCCGGGCGGCTTCTGTGGTGCAGGGCAGAGCCGAGTCCTCGCAAGGAGAGACCCGTGGCCTGCAGGTTCAGCTCCTGTGAAGGGAGACGATCAGAGAAGCTCCCCCAGGAGCGGCCACTTGGGCTGAGAAGCAAAGGACAAAGGGAAAGATGTTGGGAACTTGGTTGGAAGGTTCTCAGATGGGATCTTCCAGGACGGCAGGTCAGGAGGCAGCTGAACTGAGGCACTAACAGAAACGCTCAGAAGTCGGGACCCTGAGCAGAAAAGGGAGAGGAAGAGAACTATGGGAGGGACGGCGGACCACCTGTCACTCCACTCCCTGGGCCAGGTGTGGTAGTGTGTGCCTGTACTCCCAGCTACAGCCACTCAGGAGGCTGAGGTAGGAGGACTGCAAGTAAGAGGCCAGCCTAAGTAACTTAGACCCTGCCTCAAAAAAATAGAAAAAGAATGTTCTGGAATTTGCTTTCCTCTGAGCCAGAATGTGTCATCAAGGATTCCTGAGCAGGGAAGCAGCTGGGTCAAATCACAAAACTTCCCTCCTTGAAAGGAGAGTCGACAGACCCTCGTAGCCCATCTGCTCTGTCCTGTCCCTCAGATAAGGGGAGGCCACGGGCCTACTCCATGTCATAGAATGCTCGCAGACGACATCAGAGGGAAGAAAGATAAGCAAGGCATTTGCGATTACAGAAAAATCCCTCTCCTGAGAAAATACAATTATGATTTCTCAGCTTTTAAGTTAGGAAACTCAGTTTTGAGAATCCCTTCCTTCACGTGAACTCAATGAACCACAAAGTCTTACTGAAACCAGGGGTGTCCCCATTACTGGAACAATGTCACCAAAACACATCCCCACCTGCCAGTTAAGCAAGGTCAGAGAATATTACTCAGCAATGAGAGAGAATAAAATCATGGCATTTGCAGGTAAATGGATGGAGTTAGAGAAGATAATGCGAAGTGAAGTTAGCCAATCCCAAATAACCAATGCTAAATTTTTCCTTGATAAAAAGATAGGGAGAGGGGGCATGGGAGGAATAGACGAACTCTAGATAGGGCAGAGGGGTTGGAGGGGAAGGGAGGGGCCCTGGGGTTATAAATGATGGTGGAATGTGATGATCATTATTATCCAAAGTACATGTATGAAGAAACGAATTGGTGTGAATATACTTTGTGTACAACCAGAGATATGAAAAACTGTGCTCTATATGTGTAATAAGAACTGTAATGCATTCCACTGTCATATAAAAAATAAAAAAATAAAAACAAAACAAGGGACAGAGTCTTGTTCTGGGTTGGACACGAGATGATTGGTTCTGGGGTGCTACCCTGGGGGCAAAGAAAATGACATCCTAGGACTCTCCATCCAGCCACAGGCTCCCCAATGAAGAGCAGGGGTGCCCAAATATCCAGCCACTATCTGTGAGGCTCCAGGGAGGCTCCTCATGTGGACCTGACCTTCCAACTATAACCCACAAAAGTGGATGACAGCACATCACGGTTACCCTCCAGAGACATTTGCCACGACTGGGAACACCAGTGTTCAAAGGACAGAGAACCTCTGGATTCTACATCAAGACACAAAGCGACTTCAGGCTGGGCTCCCGTCTCTGTGGACAGTTAGGGTGTCTTCAGGTACCAAAAATGGATCTTATTTCCATTAAACCCAGGTCAAAACTGTCATCCATTTTCCAGTGACATCATGAACCACAAGCACAGTAAACTCTCTCTGCTGAACGCATCAGTAAGACAATGATGTTTATCCATAAAATCGAGCCGTGACAACTTTAAAGGCAAACTCAGAAGACACCCCTCCTCCTCCCTGAGCTAGGCAACAGGCCCTCCCACCTGGGGGTCTGCAGTGTTTGCCACACCCCTGGGCGTCCCAGGCAGACTCCAGCACAGGCTAGAAGAAGAGAGGATACATGAAGAAAGGCACAGGAAGGGGACAGCAGGAGGGACAGGCTGAAGCTGTAAGGAGAGGGGAGGGCCAGAATGCCAACCAGTGACCCAGCTCGCGGGTCCCTGCCCAGGGACACACAGTAGAGACCACACAGCTGGCCCCGCTGAAGCAACCCTGTCCCTGTCCTGCCTTAAGGCCATTTGCTTTCTTGGGGCTTTGGCTTCTGTGTGTGAATGCTTCGGGTGGCCTCAGAGCCCACTCCCTCTAAGTAGCGTGCCCAAATCCCCTCATGCTGCTCTGGGAGGGGCCAACACAATCTGCTCATCTGCTGGGACCAGAAGTGCGTGCCTGCCACACCCCACCTGCTACCCCAACCTGGACTGCCCGCCACTAACGCGGGCCACTCCCTCCCTGACTCCGCCTCGCTGCACGGCCTGCTCTGTGAAATATGACAGTTGACACAGGGCAAGGAGCTCCCTGGGAAATCTAAACAGTGCCTTTTATAGCAATATTAACATTTCCTGGATTTGGTGTTTCTGATGCTGCAGCACACGGTTCACCTCTCCCAAGGCTCACAGCCTCACCTTGAGCCTCTGTCCTGCCAAAATGCAACACAGAGAAGGTTCCAGAAGCCACTCTGCTCGCACCAAATGCTCTTCCAGGGGGTTCCACAGACAGAAGGCTTGTCCCCACATAGTTTCCGTAATATAAACTGAAATTCAAAAAGGAGCAAGCAAGCAAGCTGGGATGAACCCTGGGCACTCTTTGTCATGTTACCTAAAACTGCTCAACAAACAAGGTGACAAGTTTACTTTCTGGGCGGGCTCGGCGCTCTGGCTTCCACCTGCTGCCAGCGCACGGGCACCAGGCACTGCTGCCCAGGAGCGGGGACTGGGTGGCCTTCTCCCCCAGCTTCCAACGCTGGAGAAGCTGGCAGCTGGTTCAGCTGGGGCGGCCTCAACAGGTAGGCTGCTCTGAGAGTCAGAAAGAGCGAGGGAAACGTCCCCAAGAGTCACCCACATGGGCCTGTGACTCCTGCCCTCCCCAAGAACTCCCTCAGTCCCGTGCTCCTCCAAAATTCCAATGGAAATTGGAAATAAGGGGTCTCCAAGCAGGGAGAGGGACACTGAGGCA